TAGGTGCAATGTTGGTCTTAATTTTCATTTTAGTGGTCTTAAAAAGTTTTAAGTTTGGGGTAGTCAGACCTGAGAATACCCAGATTTTTTTATTAAAGTATAAGTGGTTTTATAGCTCAAAAATATCTAGAAGAAACAGGCATTCTGACTGTAAGCAGGGTCACTTGATCTGACTTTCTAAACTTGTAAGTGTATTTGAGATATTTAGTTCTTGTAAAGGTGCACTCTGTAACTTGTTTGATAGAGGGTCTATCACCTGATTCTCTCCATGGAGATGTGCTTAGCATGTTCCACAGTATGGCCATAAACTTATGAACCTCCATGGATTTAAGCCAAATTACAGGTTAGATTTGTGGAGAGGAATGTTTTTTTTAGGGTACTTTTGAGCAATAAATAACACCTGTAGTTGGATAAATGCAAATCATTTACTGTAATATCATACTGTGGACAATTTAGAAAGTTACACAACACATCTTTAAATAATAGTGCTGGTTATTTTGTGATATTTGTGTGTTTTGTGTACTTTCCCAGGGCTTCTGTTGTGACGACATCTGCCGTTTGTGTCAGGTGTGAGAGGAGTAAACTGAACCAAGAGGGAACGCCGAGCTTTCATCAAACAATGGCAGAGCAGCTCCTCCTCCTCCACATGCTGACTGCAAGTATCCCACAATGCACCTCTGCCCGGGTCCTGGAGTTTGAGTGCAGCGTTGGTGCCACTTGTTGATGGAACAACAGCTGTTAGGTGACAGTGTAAACACAGACCTGGATTTACTGGTTTGTTGCAATTGATCAGAATGTCCTGGGATTAAACCTAATCTACTCTGAGAAACACGGGAGAATACCAATAACTCCCAATGCCTCGGCCTATTCAAATACACTGGAACAACGCCAGATCACTATCTTTGTTATTTTTACTACCCATTCAAACACACAGCAAAGGGTCTTCTGTTGCCCATAATAAAATTGCAAGTAATTAATATTTTTATTTATTTAAAACAAGAACAATGCACACAATACAAAACACATTAAAGAAACTATTTACATTAAGCCACCTTTGACAACAACATTTCACCAATGGCAAACACTCCAGTTCATCATTAAACATTTAAAACTGTCAAAATATATTAAGATATTAATTCCTATAAATAAAAATCTTCAAATGTATCAGTATCTTCTAAAAATGCTCAACTACATGAACTTCGTGAAGAAAAAATATGGTTCAGACACAATAGTTCTATAACCATATTTTATTTTCCCTGATACTCAGAGCGGGTCAGGAGAGAGCACTTGGGCATAGTTAATGGGTTTAATGAGGGTTCATGTGTGTTCATGCTCTGGGCGTGGATCTGGGTCCAGGGGCAGGGTCTGCTACAGAAGTGACTGATGTCATTCAAATATAAAAAATGTTTTCTTAATAAATCAAATCTAAATCATAGCTCAGTTGTACTTTTTAACCATGAGAACATTATGGTGACGTGACATTTGTCACTGTAAACCAGCTTCAAGTAGTCTCCTATCTATTCTATGTGAAATTGAAAAAGCTGTATTACAGCTCATTGTTTATGCTGCCATCTGCTTTTGAATAGAAATGACTCATATTTGCTTCCTCATTTGGTAGAGGCATTTGAGTTTTGAGGACGTGCTCAGGGACAGACCCTGCTGAACCTGAGCAATCACATTTTATATTAATAGTGCAACTCGTTCTTCTTTATGTACACAACTGTGTATTACCCCTGTGGGTGAAGTGGTTTTCTCACAACTTACAGTATTTGTTAGTTCACATTTTCTATGTCTGAGCAGACTTTAAAACTCTCCAGACCTCCATTTAACCCTCCATTGATTCCTCATTTCATTTGTTTAATACAACATAGATAACACAGTATAGATTTTATAAGGACCTTTCAGTTGTTTGAAATGTTCAAACAGCTTCTTGTGTGTGGACAGAGGGATTGCTCTGCTCTTGGCCTCTCTGCTGGAGCTCATCTGAATACATTTGTGTGTGTTTACATACTTTGACGTCACAGTGTTTGAATGGACGTGTGGAGCTGCCTGTGCTTTGAATAGCCTGAGTTAAACTGGTTATAGCAGCAGACGAAAGACTCAGGCCTGTGCGGGCGTATGTGATGTTTGGGGTTTTCATGCACATGAGGACAGAGCCACACCTCGTTTCTGTCTCAGAGGAGTCAGGTCACTAGGCTACAGGAGACGAGCTAACAACTGAAATAAAACAATACAATACATTACATATTACATACATATACATATTATATTATTTTATTAATCTACATTGAATGTTAGTAACAGTGTTGCCCCTGGAAATCCCTGTACTTTTGGAAAATGAGATTTAGTTCTTAAATAGCACAGGGACTGGTAGGAATATCTGGCACTGAGATCAGAGCCCTCTAGAGGTGTGCACAAGAACTGCACTTGTGGACCGCCTCTAGTTTTTATTATTTAAAGGTGTAACTTTTCTGGTGGAGAGTGTGCCACCTCACTGTCTCCAAGAATATATGTTTTTAAAGTCGTTTTGAGATTAAATAAATGGTAGCTAGATCAAATAAGATAATAAGAAATAATAAAAAAAAAAAAAGCAGGTACTCAAATGTTACGGAGTGCAGCAAGTTATGTTTTTGTGTTTGTTCGGCTGCTCTTTTGTAAAACCTATATGCTCATACATATACATACATATATGCTCCAACATCTTTAGGGCTGGAGTCATAGGGTTCAATTGTTCAGACAAGTTTAGAGCACCCCCTACTGGAGGTGTCAAACCTGCACGCCATATCACACGTGGCACACATGATACTCAAATGTAGTAATTCATCATTGTTGTTTAATTTGATGTTTGCGGAGAAAAAATTCACCCAGACTAGAACATTTGATCATTCACATAATACTGTGCATGTTCTCTGCAGTTGTAGTGTTTGCTTGATGTTTATTTTATAAACATTTTTGCTCTCCTTTCAGTAAGTATTTGGTCTAGTGCAGTGTGGTCCTGTTTTAGACATGGTTTAGCCCCACAGTTTGAGCTGGGCTCCTGTTGTTGTAGATCTGGTTTGGTGGTTCTCAGAAAGGTGCATGGATGAAAGTTGTTCTGTTTAGTATTTTACTGTACTCTACTCCGGTTATTTTCTGTACATTTTTATTGGATTTTGGATTTTGAAATGTTGGACGGTGACCTAGAGTGTCCTGAAAGACTCATCAGACAAATTTATTTTTATTTTTATTTTTATTATTATTATTATTATTATTATTAGTAGTAGTAGTAGTAGTAGTAGTAGTAGCAGCATTAGTGCTCAGTGGGCATGTCTCTGTGTTGTGCTGTAGTCTCCAGTGTGTTCACAGTAGTAGTAGTAGTAGTAATAGTAGTAGTAGTAGTAGTACTCTTATTGTGCTGTAGTCTCCAGTGTGTCGGCAGTATTAGTAGTAGTAGTAGTAGTAGTAGTAGTAGTAGTAGTAGTAGTAGTAGTAGTAGTAGTAGTAGTACTGGTAATAATAGTAGTAGTAGTAGTACTCTGCATTGTGCTGTAGTTTCCAGTATCAGCAATAGTAGTAGTAGTAGTAGTAGTAGTAGTAGTAGTAGTAGTAGTAGTAGTAGTAGTACTGTAGTAGTAGTAGTGGTAATAGTAGTAGTACTCAGTGGGCGTGTGTCTGTGTTATGCTGTAGTCTCCAGTGTATTGGCAGTATTAGTAGTATTAGTAATAGTAGTAGTAGTACTCAATAGGCACATGTATTGTGTTGTAGTCTCTTGTGTGTTGGCAGTAGTAGTAGTAGTAGTAGTAGTAATACTGTAGTAGTGGTAGGAGTACGCAGTGGGCATTTGTCTGTGTTGTGCTGTAGTCTCCAGTGTGTTGGTAGTAGCAGTAGTAGCAGTAGTAGCAGTAGTAGTAGTAGCAGTAGTAGTAGCAGTAGTAGTTGTAGTAGTAGTTGTAGTACTCAGTGGTCGTGTCTGTATTGTGTTGGCGTCTCTTGTGAGTCGGCTGCAGCTCAGGTGTCAGTGAGCGACACCTGCACTAATCAGAGTCCATTTATTATTTACAGGATACATCAGCTTAATACAGTCGGATTTATTTTGAACACAACTGACCAGTCTTGGGAAGTAACTGAATACTTGTACCAACAATGTGTATACTGAAAACTACTACTGAGTAACTGTATTCAGGTACAGTTACTTTTTCATTTGGTGGTATTCAGAATACAGTTTATTTTCTAAAATCAAAGGAATACATGTTGGTACCTGATCACTCAGTTGAGGCTTTGAACTGCACAAAGTCAGTGATAAAAATATAAAACACTGCTCTTGTGGTGAGTACACGTGTGATTTTCCTTTCTCCAATTAGTGAAACGCACAACAAAACACAAATAAATATTAAGATGATATAAATTCTATGGTGCATTCTAAATATTAAGAATACAGTTTGAATATGAAAATACATTTTAATTCAGGTATTCAGTATTCTGTAACTATACATATTTTCTAAGTATTCTTCCCATCACTGCAACGAACACATACCACTGTGTCATATTATAAGACAGATGTTCCATGTGTTCAAACTCCAAAAGTTTAACACTGTGTTTAATAAGCCTACAGAAAGTTGATAGTATATTACATTATTAAAGCAAATTTTTGTGTTGGCTCATCTTGTGTGTGTTGATTTTATTATCTGGAATGAAACCTTAACATTGGGAGAGTTGAGTTGCCAAGTGACCCAAACTCACTGTCGTGCTGCTGGAACATCTGTTTTTCCTGCAGTAAAGAGGCTTGTCAGTCAATAGTTTTGTGTGTGTGTGCCTCCAGTTTCTTGCTAAACCAGACTCTTCTCTGTTCTGAGTTGCCGCTCTGATTGTGAGGGGTTACTGTAGGTGTTACTGATCTAACACATCATCTCCATACACGATGAACAGGAGCTGGCTGCTTTGGTGTAACACAACACCAACAGTGAGAAAAGGACCCCATACCCTCCTACTTTTGAACAATGAGAAATCATCAAAGCATGTATTTATAAAACAGGTTCATATTTATTGCAAAATATTTTTGTACAGATTAGAACTGAAAAACCATGAAACGAAGAGGAATGGACAGTAAGGCCAACATCAGAACTGTACAAACACAGAGTAACATTTTATACAGAACAGTTCTCTGTCCAACTGCGCCCTCTACAGGTGGAGAAGACCTCAAACCTCTCCAGTGATAAACATTATTGCCTTTGCGAAACCCAGGGACTCACCTCTCAGACTCAGAAACATATCCTAGATCATAAAAGAATACATCTCACCAGATGAGAATGGATGGAATTAGGATTCTCATGACAGCCCCCGGTGCACAGGAGGCAAACTGCATTAGCACGCAGGGGGCTAAGTGTTGACTCAAGAGTCTACATGAGGACCACAGACTGTATGAGGAGGACAGTCCTGGACTGGCCCTGGGTTCAGGATGAGCAGAGTGACTACATAGTTGAAGTTGGGGCGTGCATGCCCATGCACATCCTCATGCGTTTGGCACTGTTGAAAGTACTTTTAAAGTAAACAAGTCTCCCCCTTTGTCTCGGTCCATGTCCAAAAGGCAGAGACAGGTGCAACCAGACATTCAAATGTACAGCTCCCAAACATGGGATCAAACAACAAAAATCTCCTGTCTTCAGAAGTTTATATTATAAAATTAATTAAATAAGGATTAGGATTCAAGATTGATTATTATATGCATAAGCCCTTTTAGAAAACTAAACACTAAAACAGATGAAGATGTACAATCCAGATATCCAGAGAGAAGGGTCACTCTGACATGAAACATTAGCAGAATGCCTTCTGGGAAATGTAGTCCTCTGCCAGTGCTCCCCTCACATGGTTCCACTGGCCCCTTCAGCTGTTCAGCTGCGTTTGAGCGAGAAGCTGGTATTTATAATCGCGGGAGGTCATTGACCTTTATGGATATCACAAGTGCTTGGATGGATACCCTGAGAGAAGAGGACTTAGACTTGTTTTCAGTAGAAACAAGCAAACACCAACTAAAATGTTTCTAATTACCACCTTTCACACATAAATAAATATCTGTACGAGTGGATACATTATAAGCACAAATGTAACCAGAGAAATAAACACCACACTGTCATTTCAGCTTAACAATATGCATCTGTCCATGCATACACTGTATATAAACTGCCCTTGCATTCAGGCCAGTGCTGACTATATAAGAGCTGCAGCTATAGGACCCTCTGCAGACACTAACACTGATTATTACTATGGGATACAAACAATTCACAGGACAGGCCGTGTAAACAGAGGCCACGCAGCCACAGAGGATCATGGGTAACAGAAAGAAAGCAGCAAAGATAGGACAGAGACGAGAGGCGGCGCTCGGGCGGGAGTCTGCATCCTCTTTTACACAGAGGTTAAGACATGGGACTTTCAGGTCTGGTCAGTTTTACACAAAAGGATGTTGTGACAGAGGCAAGATGCTCTCCACTCGACTGCAGGTTGAAAAGCTAAATAGACATTGTATTTATTGGTGGACGCCATTTAGCCTCTGTATTTTGTACCTTTTGTGCTAACGTGACAATCGGCTCTGTGCACAGAAGCACACTAGCTCGCTCACTGTGTCTCAAAGCAAACAGTCACTTATTAAACTTGTAAAACATAAAATAAACAACCATAAAATAAAGACTACCCAGTGTGTGTCTCTCTTTCTCTATTTCCTCCACTTAATTATGTATTTTATTTGTGTATTTTTTAACCTGTTCACTGCCTTATCTTTAAATATTTATTCATTTTAGCACAATTCAGTAAAAACCTCACAGAGATAAAGCTGAACAGAAAGTAGTGACGCTCACAGTGAGGTTCCCAGGCGCTTTTGTGCACAGAGCCTATTCACTTCATACCAAAACCTCTGCGTAAAAAGGGACTCAAGAAATCTGCTTTTGGGTCTGGGCACTTTTTTTCTGTATTTAAACCCATCAAAAATACAAAAAGGTAACATCTTCTTGGTTTGCTGTCAGTCGCTCCTGTTTCAAATGTAACAGATGGTGTAAGAGTTTTAAACTGGAAACCACAGTCTCAGACAAAGAGTTGTATGCGCTCTCGGATGGTCTGTCTGCAGATGGGGCAGGTCTTGAGTGCAGCGCTACACTCTATACAGGAGGCGTGTCCGCACTGAAACACCAGCTTGATGTGGTTGTCGATGCAGATGGGGCAGGTGATGCGCTCCTCCATCTGTCTGTAGCGAGACTGGAGCTGCTCCAGGAGGTTGTGCTGATCCGAGTGCTCCGTCCCAGGGCTGCAGTCCACCTCTGTTTGGTCTGAGAGTCAAGAGACACACCAATCATGAATTTTAAAAATGGTTTACTGGGATTATCCGGATTTATTTTAATTTCCTCAATGACATAAAGTAGTTGCAATATTATTGTTATCGTGTTTAGCAACATACAGTGATTCACATCTGCTCTGTCTGAGAAGCTGAGAGAAAAGATCAACTCTGGCTTACCTTGTCTGATTTTCTTTGTGATTGTGACTTGACATTTGATGCACTTCTTCATTCTGTGGGCGCACTCTGTAAAAAACATAAAACAATTAAACGGAAACTATAATTTAAGACAAATCCAAATCTGAATCCACTGTATGTAGTACATTTATGCTTTATGTAGCACATTTTGTAATAAAAACTGTTTCAATTGCTGAACATATAAAGGTATATCATGAAAAACAACAAAAGGTATATAACAGAGGCTATAAATGCTGAACTTTGTCCCAATAGCACCTGGTGATAGAAGTGATTTACGCTGCCATCTGCTGGATAATATATGGCAATTGCAGTTACAATGTCCAAAATTTTCAGCCAATAGACAAGTATTTTTTTGGGAGGTATTTTTTGTACAGACTGTTTTGTGTTTATAATTTGTTTATGATGAAAGTAACAATCAAACAGTTAACCACAGTGCCATTAAATCAAATGTGATGTTTTTATTTAATAGAAAAGGGGTCTCGATGCTTTTATTTGCTCATTTTTATCTGCACAGTGTATTGGTACCTTCACAGGCCACGCTGTGCTGACAAGGGCAGAAGAGCACGAGCAGAGCCAGCTCAGAGCAGATGAGACACTCGCTGGGGCCAGGGGGCGTGGGCAGCACCAGGTTGGTCATGGTGTTTGGGGTGGTGTGCACTCTCCTCAGACTGGCGCTGCTCAGGCCCTGACCACACGTGAGGGCAGAGAGACGCTGGAGCCTGTGGGGCAGATTCACATTTATTATTATGTCAAGGTTATGTTATATTATTATGTGACTATGTGTACGTGTGCGCAACTTTACCTGTGCTTCTCAGAAAAGCTCTTGATGAGCTGTAGCACAGTGCTGTCTGTCACCAGGTCCAGAGGGCTCTTTCCTTTGTGGTTGGCGTAGCTCACGTCTGCCCCCTCCTGGGCCAGGTAACAGGCGATGGCTGCTCCCACGCTCAGCTCAGTGTTTCCCAGCAGCCCAGAGGCGCTCAGCTGTGATACACAGAGGAACAGCACTCACAGATCTGTACGGTATCAGATCAAGCTACACAATATAAAGCTGCACAATAACCACTTTAAACTGAGCTAAGACCATTTGCAGCAGATATCAGACACTGTCATTTGTGATTTTAATTTACTTATTTATTAGTGTTGATCTCAAATTTGACTGTAACAGTGCAAGATAAACTGAAATGAAACTCAACAGAAATGATTATCCTCCCTCAACAATGACCTGTGCATCCACCTGAAAAGAGCTTTGTGTGTTAAAGAAAGTCAACTGAGTGTGGGAGTCACATTTGATGTGGACACAGAGGTGAGCAGAAATACCAGATACAGAAGAGTTACTAAAAGCTTCTAACAGGAACAAAAATCATCAGCTTTCTTACCCTTGACAACACTCCTGCAGCCTCATACATACTCAGACTCTACCTTTACAGCTCATTTTATATCTCAGAATAAAATGCTCAACTCAACAACATGAAACAGGCTGAAATTTGCATTGGTTTAGCTCATAACTAATAACAGCAGTAGATGAACCCTTTGAACTCTTTTGCCTGAGGATCTCATTTGGAAACTGGGGTTTTCTAGACAAGGCCTTTCTCTTTAACCACAAGCATACACCACAGTTTCCTACAGTGTTTCACTTCAGTATTTTGAAGCTGAAGTGCTAAACTCTGTAAAATGACCCTTTTTACACTTCTACTATTAACCCAGATTAATCAAAGGATCTGACTCAGGACTATTCTTCCTCTGGATTTTCTTCATTTCTTTTGTCACAAACAAACAGAGCTGTTCTTTAAATAATAGACATTCTGTATTTTCCTGGTATTAGGTATAAATTTCTCACATGCAACATATTGTTGTTTTACATTTGGTTCATGTAGCCAAAATGGCTCCATAATAGTAAGAGGTCCATTGACCTCTTCATAGTGTCTTTTCACCGTAATAATCAGATTTTCATTTACTTAATATATAATGTATAATAAACTATATATGTATAAATAAATGTATATGTTATAGCTTGACAAAGTACTACATGACATTTAATATTAGCTGTAGTCATTAAATAAAACTGAAAGTACAATGCCCCCTTTTACTTCAGCTCTGGGTATGTCTTTAAATTTCCAGTGCGCCTCAGTCTAAGCTTCAGCATAATCTGTCTCCTCACCTAACCCCGTCTGATCCCTCTTTATTTACTTTACTATAAGACCACATTTAGATCCTTCATCCATGTGTTTGTATCAGCCTCCCCTCCCAAGTCTATTCCTGTCATTTAGTCTCACTGTCTTTCTCTGAATGAGACTTTAGTCTCATCACTGTGAGCTGCTCACGTCAGCTGAGTTTTCACACGTACGCCCTTTACTATGTAGCTGCAACTTGTTTTAAATACAAGCTTTAAGTGACATGAGGTCCTCTACAAACAACATTTTATAGTGTAAAATAAACTTGTAGATTAGACCTAAACAAACATGTTCTTGTCCTGTATTACATAAAATTTACTCTGGTGAGCTTTAAACCGTGTTATGATGTTGTTACCTCCTCATAAACAAACCTGGAGTTATGTTTTATTTCATTCACACATGTTTGACTAACCCTGCATTATTAGTCTGTCTACATCTCCAAAGTTCAAAATGCTCTGTTCCACCTTGTGATGTCATGAAGTTGTCAAGTTAGCAGCTGCATTTTACCTTTATGTTTAGTGAAAATGGGGAACCCCAGGCTAAAATGATCTAAATAATTATAGTGAAGGTGTATGCATGAGTTAAAAAAGAGTGGAGCACTTCCTCTGTTACCACATGACATCACAAGGTGGAACAGAGTGTTTTCTGTGTGAGAGAATAATAAATATGCATCATGGTTTAGAGCGAGTCCTGGTGAAGTAAACGTTCATCTTATTTGTGTTGTTGTTGCCTGTTGCTTGTGTGTGTGTGCCTGACCTTTGTGTAGAGGGAGTTTCCACAGCTGTCCCCTCCCTCTGTGGGGTTGATGATGGTGGAGGCGAGCTGGGGGCGCAGGAGGGCGGTGTGCATTGCCGTATCTCCATCCTCGTCCTCCATGTTGACGTCCGCTCCCTCTGACACCAGCAGCTCCACCAGCTCCGTGTGGCCCTGCGTCACCGCCAGCTGCAGCGCCGTTTGGTTTCGGTTGTTACGGATGTTCATGTCACAGCGGCCCTGAATATAAAAGGAAGAGGAATTTTACAGTTCACAAAAATAAATAAAACAAAGCATAATTTGGTGGTACAGCTACAGTATGTAAAGCAACTGCACATCTGCTCTACAAAACCTTGAAGCCTTTGGTATTTTTCAGATTCTAGAGGGTCAGATTTCCTTATTGCTCACGTTGTAATTTAGGAAATATCCAAAAGGTAAATTCACAAACACTGAACCTGGTAATTTCAATTAGTGACTAAACCCTGGAACTCACTGTATTACAACAAAATTGAGCATTTAAACAATTTTTATTTTAGCTGCCCTAATTTGTATTAATTAATATTATCCTATAGAATGTTGTGATGTCATCTGAAATCCAGCAATAAACAGGAGTCCATCTGTAATATTAACACACTAGGCAGTGGTAGAAGAAGTACTCAGATGAATTACTCAAGTAAAAGTACAAAAGTTTAAAAGTGTAAACTCAGAGTAAAATGTAAAACTATTTTGAGCAGATTCTGAGATCTAATAAAGCTACAAATGTTGTGATTTTAATACAGATTTGTGCTGAATTTATTCAACAGAAACAAGTGAAGCGATATCTTTTCCCCAGATGTTTTCATTTGTATATTTCTGTTTGCACAAATGTGTTAAAAATAAACAGCAGGTCTCAAACTATAATAAAGAATACTTTTACTTATCAGTCCAGTTCAAAAATGTAGTGAACTGGACCTGTTCTCAGATGTAGTGAAGTAAACTGAGTACTGAGGGAATGTACAGATGCTTAAAATTTATACCAAATTACAGCACTTTTACTTCATTATGTTACTGATACTAGGTAATATATACTGTATTTTCTGCTTTGATGTTAATATTAGCTGGGTTAAACTCCTGACCTCCTTGATGAGGATCTCTGCGACTTCTCTGTGGTTGTTGAGAGCGGCGAGGTGCAGCGCCGAGAAACCGTCCTCCTTCTTCACGTCGACCAACTGCCGCGCACGAGCCAGGATCCTCTCTGTGGCCCTGAAACACACAAGACAACACAAACTATGATCCACAAGGGAAATTGTTTGTACACAGTAGCTCACGCAAAGAGCAAAAATATAAATGGTCATAATAAATTCATAATAAGTAGCAAAAAGACTGTAGCAAGAGACTGGTGTCAAATAAGGCATTTTGTATATGTACAAGAAAAAGAAAAATATAGTAAATATATCTCAGCTATATACAAGAGGTCATAAGGAAGAGCGTAAAGATTAAATGGCCCATAGTACACTATTTTCTGATGGAAAACATTTTTCACATTTTCAAAGCAACTCAGCAACTAAAGACATTCAGTGACATCTCCCACACTGAGTGACTGAGTGTACATTGACCAATAGGATCCATGCAGCGAGGGGACTGTTCTGTAGCTGCTTTATGAGCTGTGAAATTAAAGCCAACAGTGAGGAGGTCTGCTGCCACTGAGCCCGAGCACCTCTCTGTCTTCAAACTCATGTCTGCGCAGAGCTCCAAACCATTTAAGTATTAAAACTCTGGCTTAATAAAAGTGGGGAGGTTAATGCAAGGATAAAAGAGGAATTACTGCTACTAGTTTATATTTATGCTTTTAATTTTAGAATTAGATTAAAGAAAAACAAAAACAGTGAGCTCAACCTCAACATCAACCTGCACACCAAGGCTCAGCTCTCACCACAATGAGCCACGAATTATAATGGACTAATTGGATAAAAATAATATACAGTTATATATTTTGGATTTTAAAAGTCCTGTATGTATATGATGTCATGAAGCTGTAGTTGTCAACATAACAGCTACTTTTAACTTTTTGTTTAGTCGAGATTGACAATTCCAGGGCTGAAATGATCCAAATGATTCTAGTGAAAGTGTGTGAAGTTTTACAACACAGTTTAGCACTTCCTGTATTACCACATGACGTCACAAGGTGGAACAGAGTATTTGAGAGAAGAACACCCTAAAATACCTAAATATGCAGGATTTCTGTGTTAAATATGTGTGAATGAAACAAAACACAACTTCAAGTATGTTTGTGATGAGGAAACAACATTAAACAGAGATCAGAAAACAGCGTAATATAAGCGCTTTAATTGTAAAATGTCTGTATTCTGTATATTGTGCAGTACATATCAAGGGCAGGAAGACAAACTGTATTTCCTCATTGCCATAATTCAGATTTACGGGCTACGTTTCTAGACGATCTCTTTTAGCATAATGCCAGCTCACATATGTACCGCAAACCAATCCTGTCTGAATAAATGCCTGAGTATCGCTCCCAAGGGCTAATTGCATTATTTCCTCATTCAAGTGACAGGAAGGGGTCTGATGAAGATAACTGCTTCATTAGGAGCCTGTAGTCTCATCAGACCCTTTCCTGACATACAAACTGCATTAGCGTCTCATGTACAGTGGAGGGGGGAGGGGACGAGGGGGCGTTGGTGGAGGTCACCAGAACTGCAGTGCACCACAGTGACCGTCTTTACAAGGAACCAGCCGATACGGATGAGGTCCCAGGGTGCTTCTTATACACAGATATGATGATGTTTTGCGGCTGATGCTCAATGTCAACATTCCTTAAGGGTGTGACGCTAACTGTAGGCATGCTCTGTCTGAAGCTTTATTCGACTTTAATCTGAGCTTTACATTAACACAATCTGACCATCAAGACATAGCTGAAACTACAACTGGTGAGCTGATTTATGTGGTTAAACAAGTCCCTCTCAAATAACATTACAGTCACAAGCTACTGTAGCTCTCCCACGTTTTTTTGTTGAAAATCAAACTCCTTAACATTCGTATTGATCACCGGCTCATGAAATGTGCTGTGCTGTGAGTTTTAATTGTCCTAATTACGTCATGGTATTTTTAACTCGACACTATGACTTTTTAATATTACTCTATTACTACTGCAGAGTTTCATGACATTTACATGGCATTTAAATAAATCTCTGTTAATCAAAAAGGAAAAAAAAAACGTATTTGGCAGTGTGTACTAATACGTGCATTGTGTTTCCACTGTAACTGGCAAACAATATACATAGAGTTACATGTACAACACCCCCAGCGTGATGTCAGTATAAAGCATCAATATCAGTAAATTCACGACGACTGTTTAATTGTGTACACGTTCAAAGAATCTGAGTGACATTGATGTGCAATATGTGAATGTACCACCAGATGTCCCCAAAATATCAGGCCTGACGCGATCGATTTGTTTATCTTTCAGTCAATTCCTGGAGCCCATCCTGGAATCTATTGGCCAGAGGCAGAATACACCCCACTAACAGCCAGTGAGACACCTTTAGGATACAAATTAACACCAGCCAGTAATTATTCACTTGGGGCAATTTGCAAATGAAAAACTTTAAAGGTCCTGTATTACACAAAACGGACTCCTGTGAGGTTTTAGTCATGTTTGATTAGGGCTGGGTATCATTAAGAAGTTGCCGATACAATACATACTTCGATACATAAGTCACGATACGATACACATCTCGATACAGTGAGCTTACGGTTTGATTCAATACGATATATTTCAAATCAATTCGATACGGTTCAATAAAAAAATAAAGGATAAATCATGGCTGTGATGCTAAAAGTCTTTGTTAAAGTTTATATGAAGCACACCCATTTTATCATCAAAACAGAGAAAATGTCAAATGTGTAGCATAAACGAGTTTCCTTCCTCTAAACAAACAACAAAACTGTAGCACTGTAACAAAATAATTTAGTAAAATATACCAAAAAATACTCCTGGTGATATATCAATACAGCAGCACACGATATCGATACTGTATCATCACATTAAACAATACAATATATCGATATTTAAATATCTTTGCACACCCCTATGTTTGAATGTTGTTACCTCATCAAAAACAAATCCGGAGTTGTGTTTTATCACTCACACATGTTTGAGTAATCTTTTATTATTAGTCTGTCTACATCTCTAAAGCTCAAAATGCTCTGTTCCACCTTGTGATGTCATGAACAGCTACATTTAACTTTTAGCTCAGTATAGATAAAAAAATTCCAGTTTTGAAATTATCCAAATGATTCTAGTGAAGGTGTATGGAGTTTAAAAACACAGTGGAGCACTTCCTGTATTACCACATGACATCACAAGGTGGAACAGAGTGTTTTCTATCTGAGAGAACACAGTCTACATATGCAGGATTTGCGTTAAACATTTGAGAATGAAACAAAACAAAACTCCAGGTCTGTTTTTGATGAGGAAACAACATTATAAACTGGAATCTATGGTGTCACTTGATAAGTTCTTGAAAAAAATAAAAAGTGTGGTGACAGAGATGTGCGTATGTTTTTCTTGAGAGAAGCAAATGGTTTTATAATGTGCTGTTTTGTGATCTTACTGTTTTGTATTGATTGTGTTGGCAGCTACAAAACTCTGAATCTCAATGGGACCTCCTGGTTAAATTAAAGGTAAAAAAAAAATGTAATAAAAAAAAAAGATAACATAAATCAAAAAATAACATAATATGGGCCCTTTAAAGGAAGATAAACAGACACGATTTTAGTTTCCAAAAGACTAAATGTCACATCGCCTATTCACTGGTTTTCAAATGCTAACGTAGTTTTGGATGACATTCAGAGCCAGATGTGTAAATACCTCTCCAGCAGCTCTGATTACGCGAACATCTTTACGAGTGTCTGAGGGAGACTCTGAATGAAGTGGCACACGCTGAAGGGAAAATGTTTTAAATGAAGCTGGTGTTTTTCATTCCTGGCACCTCTTTAAAGCACAGCACTTTCCATGACACATTGCGGTTATAAAACGGTCCCAAGTTCACATAAGGTCACACTCTATATCTGTAAACGTTTTGCAGATAAGATAATAGTGAATGGAGTAAACAAACGGACAACAATTGAAAAGAGGCAGGTCAATCGGAACTGGAGTAAATTTAGACTAAAGAAGGGCGGATGAGGGACGAGGAGGAAGAGAGGATGTTGGAGAGTTAGATAAACACACACACCAGACTGCCTTAGGAACCAAGAGCAACATACTGTAGCTATATGGCCAGAAAACAAGTCTGATTTTAACTGATTTTAATCAATTTTAAACTATCGTCTTTCAAACAGGGGATTTTCATTCATATCATATGCTTTTATTTAGGAAATTGTAAATTACCTTCAGTTACATTTGCAGAGATCTCCAAGGTTACATTCAGACTGCAGGGCCTAATGCTCAATTCGGATTTTTTTGTGAAATCAGATTTTTTTGCGAGGTCGTTCACATTTCCAATTAAATGCGACTTGTATGTGATCTCCAGTGTGAACTTTAAATGTCCCAAAAGTGCATGTGCATGGGAGGACACGACGACGTCACACGCAGCAAGCGGAAGCAGACTAAATGCTGGGCTTGTTTTCCCAAAATATGGTCCAGTTCTTCGTAAAATGGACAGGTTACACGTCCAACGCCGCTTCGTTTGTTTGAGTCTTTAGCCTCCTTGTATATGACTTGCAGGCTCTTTATTTTTTGCTCACATTGGAGCCAGGACCGCTTGTAGCCGTGCTTGGACATTTCTTTGGCAATCATTTCAAAAACCGCCCAGTTCCGATAAGACCCCTCCAATTTGGCCTGAATACAGCAATCCCTCCAAATATTAATGAACTCGCTAACCTCACTTTCCCTCCACTGGCGAGACTCTGAACCTGATGTGTAGGTGGGATGAATGCGATCTGGCCGTTCTGACTGAAAAAGATTGGATATGTATCGGTTTCAGGACCACATATCCAAGTGGACTGGGTCGCATTTGAAAAAATCGGATCTGTGTCCTTCAGACTGATCAGATACAGGTCGCATAGGGGTGAAAAAATTTGATTTGGGTCACTTCAGGCTGCAGTCTGAACGTAGCCTTCCTGTAATTTCACAATATCCCTGATTTGTAAGTAAGAATGTCAAAAGTAAACTTGAATTAATCAAATTTATTTAACTGCCCAGCCCCAATAGCTACATGTTTTTACATTTTTACAACAATGTAGTCTAGTAGTTTGCATATTTGTAATTCTCCATATGAAATTTTGCTAGACAATTTTCTTCTGTATTCATCTCTCGAGCAACTGAGGCCCTTGTAGTGATGCACAGACGGTCACTGGGACGAGGAAGCAACTTAAAATGTCAGTTATGTAAGCAGAGTAATACGGTTTTAGGATTAAAGCCCTTTTCTTGACTTTCAAGCACTAATTACTCAAGAGAGAAGAATTTTGGGGCTTTGTTAAGTACAAAGACAATCTGATTTAAAGGTCACATAGTACACAAAATCGACTCTTGTGAGCTTTAACCCATCAAAAACAAACCTGGAGTTGTGTTTTGTTTTATTCACATGTTTGAGTAACTTTATTATTCTATACTCAAGAAGCCTAAATACGCAGGGTTTGTGTGTTAGACCACTGTGAATGAAACAAACAAAACTCGAGGTATGTTTGTGATGAAAAAAAACATTATAACTTAGATCAGAAAACATAATATTGGCGGTTTAATTTAAGTACCACTGCTCCTACAGAATCAAGATACAACCTTTCTACAGATCACTATGCTCTTTCATTTTCCAAATACATATCAAATTTTCCCCAGATGTGCATGATCCCTGTATTATTTTTATTATTATTATTAATTTAGTATTACTATTTTGGACTCACAGCTTGTTTCCCTTGAGCGCAGCATGGTGAAGCAGATTAAAGCCTCTGTGGTTCTGTTGACTGAAGTCTATACTGGGCACCACCACCAGGACCTCGATGATGCTCCTGAAGTCTTTGGCGATGGCGTCGTGGAGAGGCGTGTCTCCATATGAGTCCTATTAAAAAAACAACAAAAAACACACATTTTGAACAGAGATAATGTTTGTGAAAGTGCTCATTTATAAAGAAAAAAATATAGAAAAATCAAACAAATAACAAAAGAAAACTGGACAAAACGGTTCTGTTTAGCTGTGCATATGACTGAAAGATTTTCATTCCGAACTCTTCTCTCTAATTTATGTAATTAATGTCTCTCTCTTTTTTTAATTTTATGATGATTATTTATGGTTTGATTTGTTTTTATTGTGATTTTATTGAATTTTTTTATTCAGTAAAGCACTCTGAATTACTTTGTGTACGAATAGTGCTATAAAAATAAACTTGCCTTGCCTTTTTTAAATTTTTTATTTTTGTCCAGTTGATAGAATAAAATTTTTCTTTTGCTATGCTTGTCTCCATGGAGATAGATACGTTTAATGTCGCACTGTGAAACATTCCAGGCTGAACATTTAAAGGCGCAATGTCTAACTTTTCTGTTCAAATGTTTTTCTTTGTCGAGATTATTGTTTTGTCTGGAATCTTTCACAATCAGGCAGAACAACGACACATACGGAAACAAGCAGGTGACAAACCCCCAATCAAAAAGTTACATAGTGCACCTTTAAGTACATTTACATGGAGACTAGCATTATAATATGAATTTAAATATTTATTACCATGCACATGTACATAAGTATTTGATTATAGTATTTAATAAAGACTTTTTTGGCACTGTTTAGTACTGAACAAATGAGTGTGTAAATAGTGTGAAGCGTGTTTCTGACCTGCAGATTGACGTCAGCCGAGTGCTCGGTCAGGACCCGCACAACGTCACTGAATCCTTTGTTGACGGCGATGTGGAGTGCAGTGCACATGGAGTTATTCAGCATGTTCACATTGGCCCCTTTACTCAGGAGCAGACGCGCCACCTCCGCCTGGTTCCTACACACGAGACAAAACACAAATAACTGTCACAAGAGTCAGGTTTAACTTAAGCTCCTTTTAGTTTACCGTTTGTCTTATGAAGTTTAGATTTCTCACGCGCACAGACACACACATACACACACATACACACACTCTTCACTCTTCTCTATCATTTAATGTCTCTCTCTCTCTTTCTTAATTTTTTGATGATTATTTATGTTTTGATTTGTTTGTATTGTGATTTCAATGTATTGCTTTTTCTGGAAAGCACTTTGAATTACTTTGTGTAAGAATTGTGCTATACAAATAAACTTGCCTTGCCTTGCCTTGCCACACACACACACACACACACACGCACGGGCACATACACAGACACACACACCTGCACCAGAGCGCCAACAGGGAGATCTGCATTGAGCAAAACAGCCTGTCTTTTTCTTTTTTATTATTCCTTAAAGTGACCAAATGTGTACAAAATTACAAATATCCTTAAAGGTGCACTGCGTAACATTTTGGTTGTGGGTCCATCACCTGCCTGGAATGTTCCACAGTGTGACATTAACCAGCTCTAACTTGCATTTATTAAATTACAGGTGGTTTTATAGCTCAAAAATACCTAGAAAAACAGGAATTCTGATTCTAACTTGGTCTGGTTTGGTCTCCATGATAATTAAAAGGTTTAATGCCATACTGTGAAACATTCCTGGCAAAGCAATAATATCTCCATGGAGAAAAGTTACACAATGCACCTTTAAGGCCCTTGTAGTGATGCACAAATAGACCTGTAACGATAATGTGTGATAAACAACAGACAAAAGAGACAAAACACAGTCTGTCCTGTGAGTGAGGTTATCTCCTTTTGGTCTCATGAAGTTTATATTTCTCACATGTAAAAAGCCTGAAGGATGTGACCTCGTGTAAACAGATTTATTTTTGTGTGTGCTGCTGTATGTCAAGCTATTCCAAGATGTCTATAAAAAGATTTGGATCACATAAAGCTATGAGCCAAATAAGGAAGGAAGAGGCATGACAATCGGAAACATTTGACAATTCAGCCTGAACTGGAAATTTAAAGGTTAATTGTGCAACTTTTCTGGGTGAGGGTTCATCATGGAGAAGTTATTGCTTTGCCTAAAATGTTCCACGGTATGACATGAAGCACATTTATCTAGCATTTATTCATTACGGGTGTTTCTATTGCTCAAAAATACAATATTTCTCTCTGTGAATAGGGGTGACTCTCCACAGATCTGACCTGTAATGTAGCCTAATGTTTTCTCCCTTGAGATAGATGCAATAGGTTTAGTCTCTACTGTAGAACATTCTAGATAAAACAATAACACTTCCATGAAGACAAGCGGGTGACAGGCCCTTCAACCAAAAAGGTTTAAACACAACACTACATTTAGTAACATAATATTCTCTTTGTGGGGTAAATAATATTGCATTCATATATTGTATAATGGGGTTTTTTTGAGTTTTTTCTTGCCACAAAAAAGGGTCTAGCTACAGGGGAATCTCTGGGACAGTTATCTATTGGCTTGTTTCCTGTGATCTGTTTATCCTTTATTGACCAATCGTTGTATAACTGTCTTTTGTCTAAATCAATAATTTTGTTAAACCCTGTGATGTAACTACTGTTGTGATTTTGGCAAAAAAAATGAACTGAATAATGCGATGGAAAGAACACTAATTTTGAAGGTCTGATTTAGCCTGTTGATACTTCAACAGTTGATCATCCATATTCCCTGTGGGTGCGATGCTAACTAGAAGCACTGCTCTGCCTGAAGCTTTGTTACTCAAGTTAGACTTAATCTGAGCTTTATTTTAACGCAGTCTGACCAGAAAGAGCTGATTTGGCTGGAGCTACAACAGGTGAGAAGATTTGTACTCTTAAATAAGTCTCTCACATAAAAAATTACAGTAAAATTTACATTAGTCAACAATTTTTCAGTTTGTCACTAGCACCTTTTTAATAAAAAACCTAAACAGGATCATGGATGCTCGTATTGATCACAGGCTCCTGACAATGTCCTGTTTAAATCAATTATATATATATTTATTTATTTATTTATTTTGGGGTTTTTTTTGTGTCATCATGGAAACTGCTGAACATTTCGCCAGTAGAAATGCATTACAGAACACCCCCGGCATGATGTCGGTATCTTTTAAGAAAATTACATATTATCCATTTATAAAGAACTTAAATTATCAATTATTGTAATTTGTATGTATATATGCAATAAATTATAATAAATAAATAACTTGTGAGCAATAATATCTTTAGAGCTAAGTCTCTTATTCCATTATTATGCTGACTGGATGCATGTGTTGTTTCTTTGTGATGAAATATGACTAAACTCAACAATTCACCGCATTACAACAAAACCCTTCATTTTAACAATATTAGTTTTAGTTGCCCCTCATTTCACTTACTAATGTGAGCAATAACATCTAGTCTATTTAGTCTAATATACCATTACTATTATTATTATGACTAAAGGAGCAGAGTTTATCACATTTATCTTCTCCCTCTTCCTTTTGTTCATGCCAAGGGAATGTACATAATGGTTGGAACATGCATTTGTGTTAATTGCCAGATTTTTTGTTGTTGTTTTCTTTAAATTGATGCCAACAAAATGATGGCATGAGCAATAAACAAATAAATACATAAATAAAACTATGCCAACTGTGCGCATGTTGTTACCCAAAAGCGGTGTAGTGCAGAGCCGTATCTCCATCCTCGTCCTTGATCTCGATGGAGCCGTTGGCCTGGAGCAGGGCCTTCACCACCTCCATGTGTCCCTGATGAGAGGCCACTTGGAGAGCTGTCTTTCCCTGGTTCTTTATGTCCACCTGGAGAAAAAACACACACCCGGGCATAGTCACTGTACTGTACAGTCTGCACTGTGAGCTGGGACAGATATGATGGAGATTATCCATAATCCAGACACGTCACGTCACATGGATATACACGCTCAGGTGGATCTGACTCAGGAGAGGTATTCTCTGACAGCTCTTAATTGATTATTACCAGTTATATAACTCTGATCTGATTTTATTGTTAATAAAAGAGCACAGTTTAAAGGGCCAATATTACACTATTTTCTGATCTATGTTATAATGTTGTTTCCTCATCACAAACACACCTGCTGGAGTTGTGTTTTGTTTCATTCAGACATGTTTAACACATAAATCCTGATTGTTTAGCTCTCTTCTCTCAAGTAGAAAACACTCTGTTCCACTTTGTGATGTCATGTGGTAATACAGCAAGTGATCCACTGTGTTTTTAAACTCCGTAAACCTTCACTAGAATCATTTGGATAATTCTAGCCCTGGAATTGCCAATCTGTACTGAACTAAAGGTAAAAGGTCTCTTTTAACTTGAAAACTTTAACGTGGAACAGAGCATTTTGAGCTTTGGAGATTAATAATAAAGTGTTACTCAAACATGTGTGAATGAAACAAAACAACTCAAGTTATGTTTTTGAGGAGGTAACAACATTAAAACATGTCTTGAAGCTCACAAGAATCTGTTTAGTGAAATACAGGACCTTTAAGCAATAACAATATATATATATATTCAGGCCATCCATTCATCCATTTTCTTTTTCTTATCCTGGGGCAGCAGTCTAAGCAGAGACTCCCAGACTTCCCCCACCCCAGACACTTCCTCCAGCAACTCCAGTGGGACCCCAAGACACATAGTCCCTCCAGTTTTTTTTTTTGAATCATGTACAACAACTGTATTTGTATCACACACACACAACATTCATTTTAACTTCAACGTTTTTCAAATCTGTCAAAATATATAACCCAAAACAAAACAGCTTGGTGGTCTGATTTTCCACAAAGACATTTATTTTATTGAACAGTTTTCTAGGTAACTTGAATGTAGGTATTTCAAAGCCCTCATAACTTAAATACTTCTGACTATGATTCTTATTTTCACTTTACTCTTCAGTAAAGCTTCCAGCTTTTGATAATATCTAAATATATTGTCTTTTCCGCATCCAAGACACACAGCTGCGTAGCAGTGCACAAATGAATGTCAAGGTCGCATACCAGAACACAAGTGAGGAGTGAAGTGATAGGGCAAGGTGCAGTCAGGGCTAGAGACCAAAAAAACAAAAATAATTTGAAAGGGACATATTTTTTAAAAATTACTTTTAAGTATTGGTTTTCAGATTGTAGATGTGAATATGTCACAGTCTCAGATGAGGACAAGAGTCAGATTTCCCTATTCATGAAAAAAGAAAAGCATGAACTCTTTACTAATGACACTTTTTGTTATAAGCTGCCAAATGTCAAGCAGAGATGACCTTAAACCAATATTTGTGTTGTATTGCAGCTGATCTGCTTCTGACAGAAGAGGACATCATGTGCTCCAGATTATCTGTTTACTGTTTTACAACAGTGTTCTAATGGATAACACACCTTTTTGGCAGGAAAAGTAACTAAAAGAATCTGATTACAGTATTGCCCTACTTTGTAACTAGTTCCTGCCCAACACTGCTTATTTATATTAAAGGTAATATATTACACAAAATTGTCTCTTGTGAGGTTTAAGTCATGTTAAAAATGTAAAAACATGCCTCAGGGTTCCCACTCTTTTTCACTGACAACATTTCAAAAGGTTTCAGTGACTTTTTCATGACCTGCAGTGAATTTTCCATGACTTTTCAGCACCTACATGTGTAGAATTGATCAGACTTTTAGGTCTAAATATGAAATGTTAACCCTTTCCACTCACCTTATGGTTTGGTATTATAGTTTTTTAACATTCAAAATACTGTCAGTGCATTTATTGTCGTCTCTTTTAAACAAAAGGCGCATACATTCGGAAATAATCATAATAGCCTAATGAGAACATAACAGAACGCTGTAGTTGCATGAAAGAGATACTAAAATTCAATGATTTTTCCAAAACTGTCATTGAATTTACAAAATTCCATGACGTTTCCAGGCCTGGCAAATGACATTTTCAATTTCCATGACTTTTCCAGGATTTCCATGACTGTGGGAACCCTGATACCTGGAACTGTGTTTGGTTTCATTCACACATGTTTGAGTATTCCTTTATTATTAGTCTGTCTACATCTCCAAAGCTCAAAATGCTCTGTTCCACCTTGTGATATCATGAAGCGGTAGTTTTTAAGTTGACATCTACATTTTACCTTTAATTCAGTAGAAATGGGCAATTCCAGGGCTGATAATATCCAAATTATTCTACCGAAGCTGTAAGGAATTTAAAAACATAGTGGAGCTCCTCCTCTAACAGTGAGAATTTTCAGTTTGAGAGAAGAACTCAGGTTACATATGCAGCGTTTGTGTGTTAAACATGTGTGAACGAAACAAAACACAACTCCAGGTATGTAAAAAATAGCATAATATGGGTCCTTTAAATATTATTGGTCTAATAAAATATTGTGATGTCAACCAAAACAAAGCAATATATAAGAAACAAAAGAATAATAAATCTTCTTTAAGTGTATAACCAAGATGTGGATAAATTCCTTATGTCTTCCCACCCCTCTTATGCCTGCGCTACCACATGTACTGCAGTATTCTGTAATATTGTAGAGGAGACTGCTGTACTCACCTTGTCAGGGTATTTCTGTAACAGCTCTCGCACTTTACTGGCACTCCCATGGGCAGCCTCTATCACCAGTCGGCTGGGGTTGTCCTGTTCTGTGGACTGGGCCAGCAGCTTCTCCAGCACCGAGATTACTGTACCTGAACACAGAAAAAAGACAACGGATTAGTGACATTCAATCTACGTCCAAGGTCATTATTATTATTATCTGCTGATAGCTGTTTTCAGGGTGGGAGGAGGAGGACAGGGCAAGCCAATGGACCAGAAGAGATGTGAAACAAAATACACCAAGATCTTAATCAGACCAGATCAATTTGAAAAAACATGCAAAGCGATATCATGCACATACGAAGAAAACAGAAGCAATTTGAAACGCAACCCGACCCTGTAAGAAAAACTGAGTGAAGCACGGTACAGTTACATGCATGGCAGACAAGCAAAGACAAATGGGGTAAAATGCATAGGAAAAAAACAAAAGCTGCAGTTGGTGTGGTATGGCGAAGTCCTGGGCCAATGTGAGCCCTTACTTCCGGATTCTGATGGGTTCTCGGCGGTCATGAGGTTGGCGTCCACTTCCACGGGCTGCGCCGAAAGACACGCCGGATTGAAAGTCCACGTCTGACCGCCAAACGCCACACGCAGGTCCCCATCTGCGTACACTTTCAGCACCTTCCCCACCTGCCCCAGGACCTAGAGAGAAGGACAGAGACAGGGTTTCAAACAACAGGCGCTTCAGGGTCCTATATTATGCAAAATGGACTCTTGTGAAGTTTAAGTCATGTTATAATGTCGTTACCTCCTTGAAAACATACCTGGATTTTCACATATGCCTGAGTAATCCTTTATTATTAGTCTGTCTACATCCCAAAGCTTAAAATATCCTGTTCGACCTTGTGACGCCAAGTAGTGGTAGTTTTCAAGTTAACAGCTACCTTTTGCATTTTGTTTAGTAGAAATTGGCAATTCCACGTCTGAAATTATCCGTTAACTTCTTGGGTTCTTTTTTTAAACACAATATAGTAAGGTGTATTTATCTTGTTGGCATGTTTCGGCTGCTTGCCAACAAGAGAAATACACTTTACTATATTGTGTTTAAAAAAGAACCCAAGAAGTTAAAGTACATAAGAAAACAAAAAAGCATCTTTGGTTTTGAAATTATCCAAATGATTCAAGTGAAGGTGTATAAAGTTTCAAAACACAGTGGAGCGCTTAATGTATTATCACATGACATTACATCAGTTTGAGAGAAGAACTCAACCTAAATATGGAGGGTTTGTGTGTTAAAGATGTGTGAATGAAACAAAACACAACTCCACAGTAGCTTTGCGATGAGGAAACAACATTATAACATAGATCAGAAAATAGCGTAATATTGGGTCCTTTAATTCTCAACACTCAATGTTTAAACAAAGCTCTACATTTAGATATAACATAAACATTACATTAGAGCTATTTTGATGCTTTTCCTTAACTTAATAAAACTTGAGAGGGTCTAACAGTTAAAACCTGAGTGAGTGAGCGTACTGGAGCCATGCTGTCTGTCCACTCTCCATGTCCAGCCTGGAGTCTCTTTACACTGTCCATGTCCTCCAGCACTCGCACAAGCTCTCCCACTCCAAACGTGTTCACCTGAGACACAAGAGTACGGTTATTATTTGTGTTGGAGTTGTGTTACCATGGAAATAATAACAGTAATAATAATTGATAACCAGTGGTGGAAGGTAAAAAAGTAAAAGTTGTAAACTACTGTACTTAAAGGTGCACTAAGTAACGTTTTGGTTGTGGGTCTGTCACCTTCTTGTTTCTGTGGATAAGCACTTGACGGACCATCCACCAAAAAAGTTACACAATGCACCTTTAAGTAAAAAAAGGTAGGTATCTGTACTTTACTTAAGTATATTTTAAAGGACATACTTTTACTTCACTACATTTTTGAACAGGACTGAAAAGTTAAAGATTTTTTTTTATTATTGTTTGAGACCTGCTGAAAAGGCTGAGGATTTTTTTATTTAACACATTTGTAGATTGAGCAAACAAAAATATGTAAATAAAAATAACTAGAAAAAAAATTACTGATTCTATTGTTTCTGTTGAACAAAATCAACATAAATCTTTATCAAAATCACTACATTTGAAAACCTCAAAATATGCAGGAAATACTTTTACATTTACTATACTAAGCACATTTTACTTTTACTTGACCTAACTTTTTAGCTCCAGTATAGTAACAAAATTGAGCACTTCTTCCACTACTGTTGATACATTATAAATAGATAAAAGTGTCAGAGGAAGTAGTGAAACCTGGTGGAGGAGGGTTTCCTACCTTGGTGAGGGCACCAGGGTGAAAAGTCCAGCGGATGTTGTTGCTGTACTGGACTCGGACATCTCCTCTGTCGGTGATTCTGTGGACGGTCCCGATCCGACAGATGTACTGGACACAGAGCGAGGACATATTGTGTAAGAAACCCCCCAGATGCCAATGACCTCTGACCTCTGAGTGCTTCTAACAGCTGTGGTCCATGCCCTATTCACTCCCATCCACCACGCTCAACTGGACATCTCTGACACTGAATAAATGAGGCTTCACTGTACAATAATTTTAAAATTTTTTTTAGAATTACTATTACTATTCTGTCTGCCCCAGGGCTCTGCTGGCTACAACAGGAACTCACCACCACCGAGTGTGGAGAGACTGAATAATGTTCTGTAAAGTGCTTTGGTAACAGTTGTTACCTCGGCCATCTTGGGGTTCCAGCCTCCGTGGCCCTCCTGCATCTGCCTCAGAATGTCCACCTCCAGGAGACACTTCACTTTGTCTCCCTGTTGGAACGAGTGTCCGTCTGCGCTCTCCTGTCTCTGTATTTCTGCGTGTTCCCCTGGAAACAAAGGCATGTACATTATTTTGCATGAATTCACAGACCTGACTTGTAACTTTGCCTGAAGGTGCCAATGGAGCTGGGTTAATCTATTCCAGGCAAAGTTAAAACCCAAGCAGGTGGTTGACCCTCCACCAAAGAACTAGTTTTTCACTATATCATAAGTATCAGATTCATAGTGCATTAGTATTAGAAACTAGTATTAGAAATTAGTATTAGAAGCCAGAGGTGGGGACTTGCAAGTTGTGACTTGAGTCATTATTTTTTAGACTTGAGACTTGGGTCTTGACATGGACTTGAGGCCTGTGACTTGAGAAGACTTGAGAAGCAAAATCTGAATTCTTTCTATTCTGACATTAATGATTCACACTGAGGAAAAATTTACATTTCTACAACTTTTGTATACTTTAGAAATACTCATATATAAATATACTTAGATTTTTTAAAGTACAATTTAGTTTAAAAAGTATATAAATTGCAAAAATCTAAGCTATATTTGGTACTTTGGTTTAAAGACTTGAAATGACTTGAAGCTCAAAGCAGATGACTTGGACTTGACTTGGACTTATGGGCCAGTGACTTGAGACTTGACTTGGACTTGCCTGTATTTGACTTGGGATTTGACTCGGACTTGAGATCAAAGACTTGAGACTTATTTGCAAAACAATGACTTGCTTCCACCTCTGTTAGAAGCTAATCTGCTTTACTTACCTGCTACTCCCATCATCTCCTCAATATGAACCCAATCATCTTTATCCATTATATTAGTTCATTTAAACTCTGAGTGCCTCTTACCTAGTTTGGGAAGGTGCTCCTTGTAGTAGAATCCTCCCTGCCCGTCAGACACGTACTTCAGGTCTACTTTGCCCTTGTGGCCCATGCGGTAGACGTTGGTGGTGCCGTTGGACCAGGTCACACTGGCAACACTGCGCCCCGACTCTGTGTCCCAGCCTCGAATGTCCACTACCTTCCCCACCTTACCCTCCCCACCTGTGACCGTCCACGCACACAACACATGATAAACAGAAATAACATCACATCAGCGCCGGGAGACTGTCAGACATTGGTGGTTTTCAGATTCTAAAATGAGATTATGTCACATCACACTGTACTCTGCCATGAAATATCCAAAAGGTAAATTCACAAATGTTGAACCTGATCATTATTACTGAAAACTAGACACATTAACTTCTTGTATTACAACCAAAATCCCCTTTTCAACAATATTTGTTTTACCTGCCCCCATCTGTATTAAATATTTTTAGCTCATACTGATGTAGGGATGTAACAATATTCAAAACTCTCTCTATACAATATTTTCATGATTATATTTTCACAATATTTATCTCATTGTATGATATTTATTGCAATATTTATTATGATGAGGCTAACCAAACTGTAAATATGCTACTTTTCCTTTTAAAGGTCTTGAAAAGCCTTTGGTACTGTCATAATCCAAAGAATTAAGATTTAAAAGTGCTTATTATTTCTTCATGTGTGCTCTGAAACAGCAAAGGCTCATGGTCTATGTAGTTTTTTAACTACTGCCGCACCATAACAATTAATTTAAGCAAAGAGACTTGTGATTCGATATATTGTGATGGTTCACGAAATTTTTGTGAGACTTTTGATAATACAATATCACATATTTCAGTTATTGTTACATCCCAGTCATGAATTTCACAAAACACAAAAGACAAAATGTTAAGTAGAGGGAAAACATGCACAAAACAGGTATAACTTTCCAAGTCCAATGTCCATTATCAGAAACCTGGTTGAAAATGTGTGAATGATGTAAAATGCACAAAATAAAACAAACTAGATATTCAAAAAAGGAGAAAAAAAGAAAAGCACCATTATGTATTCATATCCCCAAAACAACAAAGAAACAGCCTGATTCTGTGTCTGTGAAAATGGAAAAAGACGAACAGCACAAAGAAACAGTATTAAGAGACGTCAAAATTAAGAACAAAGACCAAAAAGTGAGATGTAATGATGCAACTTTTTGTCAACACCACCCAGAAAAATAAGAATAATAAACATGTTAAACAAATGCACAGAGAAAGTCATTTAAACGATCTGCTAATAAGATGAACCCTTTAACTCTTAATACTTTTAGGCTATTATGTGTGTAGTGTTAACATCATTTGTCTATTGATACTTTGCAGCTCATCAATATTCCCTGGGGGTGTGAAGATAACTGAAACTGTCTGAAGCTCTGTTACTCAAGTTAGACTTAACACAATCTGAACAGAAAGAGCTGATGACTTGGTTGGAAATACAACGGATGAGTTGAGCTGAACAGTTTTTTTTATTCACTTTCACCTTCTTGTGAAATCAAACACCTGAACAGGACCATGAACGCTCGGACTGATCACAGATTCCTGCTGTTTAAATCCATTTTGTATTTCTTCTTGAGTTTTCAGACAATCTAAAAACTTTTTGGTTGTTACTACTAATGCATGCATTGTGTCACTATGGTAACTAATGAACATTCAGCCATAGAAATCCATAGAAATCCATAGAAACACACCCCCAGCGTGATGTTACTGGGACGTATCAATAGTAAGACAACACCACAATACAGGGAATTACTGAAATCTGGCTGTACTTTTCTCTAAGATGGAGTGTACAACAAGCAACGTGAAATGATGCAGTTTATTTTTATGTTTGGAGATTTTAGGTTCACCACAGGAATGTCGTAGTGTAACCAGTGTGGGCACACAGGGGCACATGTGTGGAGCAGACTGGCTGGCTCACTCTGATAAACAGTTAAACCATTAAAGCTGCACCGTGGAACTTTAAAGCTGCACCTTTAAAGATGCACTGGTGCGTTAGAGAGCTGAGGGCAGAGGCTGAAGGGTTAGTCAAGGGGGCACTCACCGTCTTGGTTGCCCCAGTCCCAGTCTGGGCCACGCACCACTTTAACGCCCTGGAAGATTCCTTTGAGGATGATCCGGGGCAAGTTCTGTCTCGGGGCCAGGCTCACTCTGTAACAGAAGCACACATTATCATTTATATATATTTTTGTTCTTTGTTATTACAGTATATTGTGATGTGTGAGCTACTGTGTCCAAATAATTTCCCTTGTGGATCAATAAAGTTTGTCTAAGTCTCTAATCAAACGCTGCACAGCTTCACAGAGGCTCAAAATGACCCCAGACATACCTCACATCAGACCGAATGAAGAATCAAACGCATGACATTTAGAGTTTGACCCATATGCATTTTTTCACGGCCGATTGTTTAGAATCCAGAGGAACCGATGGCCAATGAGATCATTACTATCAACAAATTATCTCATTAGAATTTTGTACAAACTCACCCACAACCTTCTTTTACTATAAGCTGTGTAGAGTCCAAAGTATTCACATTTTTGCAGTACCTTCTTTGGACTAAAGTGCTCAAATAAAGCTTTATGTATATATTTTTCATGCATATTTAGGCTGCTGGTTGGGTCAAACTAAACATCGAATTCTGTTGAAGATTTATGGTCAATAGTCAGTACGCTAAAAAAGTAAATATTGGCCAAACAATATATTGGTCTATCTCTACTGAAGCAAATGTAAAATGTGCAAAAAAGCAAATTTCATTCATTATTTTGTTTACAAGACATTAGACTTGCATTATTGTTCCATTTTTATTTTGACACAGTGTGAATCGTTAGTTTTAATTTAACTTACTGTGCAAACGAGCATAATATAAAGAAGTATAATCATCTTTTTATCATATCATATCATATCACGTAGCCCAGATCAAAAGTTTCTTAAAAGGTATGCTCATGTGATTCAGTGTAAAAACAGGTTAGTCCAGACAAAAAATTAATGCGTATAGTACATTACATTTCAAGGAATAAAAAAACAAAAACGCTAATTTCCTGTTTGATGAGAGCAGTTATTTTGGTAAGATTAATTTCTTTGGGTTGCTAAAATTTGGCACTATTATTGGAAAACACAAGAGACAGTTTCTAATCAACAACCAAAGTTTCTATCACAAGTTTTGTCCAGGAATGTAGCTACATTTCCTGAAAATCTACAAACTAAATCTCCTCTACAGATATGACATACCTGATAGTGAATATTTGATCAGACCTTGGTGCAAAGGAGCTCCCAATGCCCATACTTTAAGGAAGTCATTGGTCACTTGTTCCATAAACGCTTAACCTTAGATGGGCTGAGCTTCATGTCTGCTCCCTGCCTGAGCACCAGAGCTCTGAGCCCTGACTTCTGAAACACAGATTTAAGGCTAATCCCACACAGCGGCCAATTAAAGACCAGGTCACTTCAGGGCAAAGGCACACGCATGACTCTCAAACCCAAATCTGGTTTATTTAGAAAAACAAAAACTGCTACACAGATTTAGTAATGTTTCAGATAAATCCAATGAGTAATTAGTGGAACCTATATAATAGACTTAAAGGTGCACTATGTAACTTTTTGATTGGAGGTCCATCACTGCTTGTTTCTACAGAGATGTCATTGCTCTGCCTGGAATGTTCCACAGTGTGACATTAAACAGCTCTCCTTTACATTTATTCAATTACAGGTGGTTTTACTGCTCAAAAATACCCAGAAAAACAGACATTCTGACTGTGAGCGGTGTTGCCTCTCCACAGATCTGACCTATAATCTGGCCTGGTTTGGTCCTTGAAACATTCAAGAGAAAGTAAAAACATATCCATGAAGAAAAGCGGTTACACAATGCACCTTTACACTTAGACAAACTTTACTGATCCACATGGTAAATTATTTGGACACAGTAAATCATCACAATATATTACAATAACAGAGCAAAGAGCAAAGAGCAAAGAGCATAAAAATGAGATTAGAGATCGATCAATGTGTTTTTTTCATGGCCAAAGTCGATACATTGCTCAGAATCCAGACGAACCGAAGGCCGATGAGCTCTGTCGATATTTCTGGGCCGATATTTTTGATTGACTTATTTTTATTTTTTTTTTTATTATTTTCGTTGAATTATGTAATTTTAATTAACTGCAAACTCATCCACAGCCTCTTTTTTACTTTAAGTTAGCTTTTTAGTCAGTTATCTCTAAAACTAAATATGGGTATGTGCTGGAGATTTAAGGCAGAAAAGTGAAAACTGCAAATATCTCTATAATAATCTCTAAATAAGATATCCAAAAGTCACAAAATGTAGATCAACAGTTACTGTTAAAACAAAAAAAGTATAATAATTATTACAACAGAAAAAAAGTCTTACATTGTAATTAAGTTACTGAGACTGAAATGTTCTTCTTATATTGTTTTGTTTTATTTTAATTTAAAAACAGCTTTATTGGTTTGAACACCCATACAGTATTTAAATCTATTGTTGTTGCTTCTTTTTTTTTTCAATTATTTTATTTTTTTAATTCATACAGCATATTAAATCATCAAGAATATGAATTTCTTCCCCATGTTCTTAGGTTAAAGTATTTAAAGGTTCATAGTACCTGAACTGTACTCTTGTTAAGCCATATTATAATGTTGTTACCTTATTAAAAACAGACCTGGAGTTGTGTTTTGTTTCATTCACATGTTTGAGTAATCCTTTATTATTAGTCTGTCTACATCTCCAAAGTTTAAAATGCTCTGTTCCAGTTTGTGATGTCATGAAGGGGTAATTTTCAAGTACACTGCTACTTTTTTAGTACCTTTTGTTAAGAAAATAATGGCGATTCTAGGACTGAAATTATTGAAATGATTCTAGTGAAGGTGAATGGAGTTTAAAAACAGAGTGAAGCACTTTCTGTGTTACCACATGACATCACAAGGTGGAACGGAGAGTTTTCTGTTTAAGAGAAGAACTCAGCCTAAATATGAAGGATTTGTGTTAAACGTGTGAATGAAACAAAACACAACTCCAGGTATGTTTGTGATGAGGAAACAACATTATAACACAAATCAGACAATAGTATAATATGGGTCCTTGCTGGTCTGTGCTGGCAGAACATTTGTGGTCAAAGTCAAAAGTGTATGACGCGTGACTGTTCTCAGAAGATCAGCAGTAATCTGTCCAGAGCCAAATGTCATGTTTCCCAGGTGGAGCGCAAGCACTGACACAGCCCCGTCAGCCAACAACTTTGGCCTTATTAGCTAATAAATAACCCAATAAAACCAGTACCAATGAACAGGAGAATATTTAGTCGACGTGCAACTTTTTCTTATTTCGAGCCACTTTTTTTTTCATATTTACAACTTGAAGTGCATCTTAATGAGAGTAAGAAACATTAAGTGAATATACAGACATTAGAGCTTCACTTTATTCATTCAATATATAGAACTTCCAAAGAGTTTATGTTTCAGGTTATGGGTCAGTGTTCTTTGCAGTGTGGCCACAGACTGTATAAAGAAACGGACTAAGGGAGAGTCACGTCACCCATAAAGTTCAGCTCCAGTCAAATGAAGCACACAAGACCAACGATTCTAAGAGCGAGTTTGGAGCCAGTTCCACATTAGGAGTAGGAATTTATTTACAGACAAAATACTGAAATAAAAATGCCAGTATCATGTAGATTGTGGGTTAATATGAACATTTTAAGACCAAAATGACAAGACTCACTGTTGTAGTTACAGAGAGGGGTGACAACTTTTCTGTGTAACGTCAATTGGAGCCAGAGTCGATGGAGCTGGAAGTGCTCCCATGTTCACTTCCTATTTGGAATGTGGCAACTAGCAAGTTAACTATCCATATGTGAATACAGTCTATGCCTGCATCGTGACTTTGGCGTAAGATCGCAGTGGATATTTAAGGTAACGTGCCAGCTTCAATGTTGTGTGAATGATTCCCGGCATTTTTTGTGATTAATAATTTATTGTTTGCATCTTCAAACGTTTAATATGTCAGAACTTGCTTTTAACATTGCACACATGAAAAAAGACAAGATAAGCAAAATAAACAAAAACAAACACATAATAAATAAATAAACTTCCCAGCTATAACAATTGGCAGAATGTCTCTCCCCACTCGTCACCCCCATTTCAGACTATACCGTCCTATATTAAAAAAGCCTACAGATTAAAGAATACAAAGGAAAGTACAGCCTGAATTTAGAGGTGATTGTTGGTGTCAATGAAGATGAGAATCAGCTAATAAATAATTTGATGATTAGAGAAAGAACAGCTACACTACACATCCTCTCCAAGCTGGATAAGAAACAATATAGGAAATAATATAAATAGGCCTGTCAGGATAATTATTATATCAGCTTATCCTTCAATATTTGAAAACTGGAACAATGTTTTTTGGGAGTCAGTATTTATCTTGTGTACATTTTCTTTGCACTACTGGGTAATTTTTTTGTTTATTTTTTGGCTATATGATCAGATTTAAGCCATAAAAGGTTGATTTTATATTTCTATGACTCATTACAGATGCAAACTTAACTAAAGTGTCTCATTCTCCTGTTTATTTATTTCAGCTCATTGATTTTTTAAACAATATTTAGAGTAGTTTTGTGGTTTAAATCTGCTTTTGGATTTTTGGACCAGTGGCATAAATTAGTTTCAATATTATCATTTATATCATTGTTTATATTTACTTCAGCAATATATCGAAATGCAAAATGTCTTACCATAGCAGGCAAAAGTATATATGGAAAATAAACAAGTATATTAGCAGCCTACAGTGTGTCAGTCTGAGCGGTGCTGATGTGAGAGTGTCTTCAGGATTACACTGGAGCCTGACCTAATACTGTTGCGTGCGTGTTGTTTGTGTTTTAGACAGAGCAGATTAACTGGCTGCTCTGGGCCGTCCTCGTAAACATATGGCCCTCACATATGTCCCTCTCTCAGCGGCTTCTCATGTCCTAATAAACAAGATGCATGTTTATGTTTTTTTTGCAGTAATGGATAAGTAAATGATAAAGGGAATGAACTTGAGAATTAGGGCTGTTCTCGTTTGAAAGATCTGAAAGAAAATAACGTAATATCAACTATTTAAGACATTCAAAGGGCCCATAATTACACCATTTTCTGATATGTGTTAT